TGTTACTCTGCAAGGGAATATCACAGAAGATGGACTGTGCATTGAATGTGAGGCAAGAGACCCTGAGGGGGTGGAGTGTGGGGAGAGAGTAAGTCGGCCAAGATGGCCTGTTCGGCTTTCTCACCCCGTGCTTTGTAAATAATGACTATGTAACAGCTGAGAGCATTTTTAGTCCCATGCATGGGCGTCAGGAGGTGCTCACTGGTCCTGAGCTACTCTGTGTTGTGGGGATATATCAGCTTCACTTAGAAAGTGGCGGCACTTTACTGCTGTCTCATGCTGTGTCTGTTAGATTAGCCACAAGAGGAGAGAATATAGCGTGTATAGTTATGGCTGCGGCATCAGCCAGGAGAAGATAAATGTGTCTACAGTTCTGTGGTTCCTTGAGTCTTCTAGCCTCTTAGCTTGTGCCTTACCTACCCTGGGTTCAATGAACAGTGTGTACAGTGAGATACAGTGAGACAACTGGCATCATGAGCAGGATCAGCAATACATCAGCCCTTCCAAAATTGCTGGGAAGAAAGTCTACTTGGTCAGGGTGTATGCTGTTTCTAAGACCAACTTTATATGACCATGCCAAATCACACTTTTGAAAACTTAAACATCTTCAGTGATTTAAAGTGACACATTTCCCATACACTGATTTTCCAACATGATATCGTTGTTTAGTCACTAAGTCGTGTCCAACTCTTTGTGACCCCATGGACTGAAGCAGCATATACTTGGGCTCAATTCTGAGTGTTTTATCCACTGTGTGTATGCACAAGCACAGATTGTCAAGTCTATGGAATGTCATTATTGTAGCATCTTTTGGGGATATTTTAATTTCTGCTGGCTTAGTCCCCACCATGACTTGAATTTAGTCTTATTCCTGGGTTTATTTAGTCTTATTCCTCACCTATCTGTGTTTTGCTATAAACTTTGAAATCAATTTATCTAACTCCAGAAAAGAAAACACATTTTGAGTTATCTGTTCAAGAATATAGGATATCTTATCATTCATCCAAAACTACTTTTTCTTTTTGTGTGTGATGTTTTGGTTTTTATTTATTTTTTTCCCCAGGAATATTTTAAAGATTTCCTCATATGAATTTTCACATTTTTTGTTAAGGTCATAGGTATCTTATCTTTTTCATTGTTATTATAATTGTTGTTTTTGTCTTTCATCATGTATCTTTTAGTGGGAATATAGACTGATTTTGTCATGTTTTATCTAATGACTTTACTGAACCTTCTTACTATTTGTGGTAGTTTCATAGTTTTCTCTTGGGTGTTCCAGATATCCTCTAAGTCTTCTTTTTAAACAAATTCAGCTTTATGTGATTTTTAATTTTTATTTATTTTTAAAAAATGTATTTATTTATTTTTGCTGCATGGCATGTGGAATCTTTGTTCCCAACCAGAGATTGAACTCCCGCCCCTTGCATTGGAAGCACAGAGTCTTAACCACTGGGCCACCAGGGAAGTCCTTCTAAGTTTTAAAATAGGAGATAGATTAAAAGGCCTTTTCCATTTCCCTGGATGATTCTCTAGTGTGGCTGTGGTGGCCAATCTTCCAATATGGTATTAAAGATCAAGGGATAAAGGAACAACCTTTCTGTGACCCTAACTTCAGCATAAAGGCACTTGTTCCCTCACTAAGGAAAGTGCTAGCTTTTAGGCTGACGTATGTATATGTATATGTATATCTTACTGGACTTACCTGGTGGCTCAGACACTAAACAATCTGCTTGTAATGCAGGAGACCTGGGTTCAATCCCTAGGTCAGGATGATCCCCTGGAGTAGGAAATGACCACCTACTCCAGTATTCTTGCCTGGAAAATTCCATGGACATGGAAGCCTGTTGGGCTACACTCCACAGGGTCGCAAAGAGTCAGACATGACTGAGCGACTAATACACTATATATCTTATTATTCAGTGGTTCCTTTTTTAAAAGTTGGAAATGGATTTTGAATGTGTTAAACATCTTTAATTTTATTCTCCTTAGAAAAGCAATAATATTGTGAATTATATCTATGGGTTTTCTAATAAGTATCTTTGCATTACTGGAATAATTTCTACATGATTATAATGTATTACTTAAAAAATAATGTTGAGCTCTGTTAAAATCTTCCATCAGGATTTTTGTTAGTTGATAGGTTGGATTGTCTTACTTTTTTGTGTGTGATTAGTTTTTGTCTTCACAACACTCTCCTCCTTTGTCTGTGTCTGGAAGAGAATGGACAGCACTGGGACAATCCTGTGGTTAAAGGCCTGATGTGACTCCCAAGGAGGCCATCTCAGCTAAGGACTTGCACTAGGATAGTTTTTTTTCCTTAAATTTTCCCATTTCTTCTTTGGAATTTGATCTCTAGCCTTCTGTCTCTACTGGGATCAGTTTTCAATAAATTAGTTATTTCCTAAAAAGTGATATTTTTCATTTGAATTTATGTACATAGAGTTGAATAATATCTCTTAGGATTTCTTAAATTTTTTATGTTCAATGGAGATATCCCCCTTGTCATTTCTGGTTTTGTGTATTTTCAGTCTCACATCATATCTTGATTAAGTTCATGATGTCCTTTCTTACTTTTTGATTTTTTGTTAAAATTGGTATTTCTAAAATGTTAGTTTTAATGTTTTCTGTTGTTTGGCTTTTGATTTCTGCTTTTACCTTTTTAAGTTTCCTTTGGGTGCCTACTCTCAGCTCATGTTTTCCATTTTCCAAATTAGATGTTTAAGCATTTAATACTCTGATATTGACAGGTCTGTTTTTAAGATGACTCTGCCCCAGCTTTGGTCACACCCTGGATTCTATATCCAGACATGGTTGTCCTTTCTAGACATGCTGTAGTTTGGTTTATCCTTCTGCCACCCTTCTGTCAAGGGTGACATTCTGCCAAGTGTTCATTCTGACAAGGCAGGGTGATGAACATACTCTGCATGTGAAAGGGAGGCTGTACTCTGTGTAGAAAGGTAAATATAGGATTTCTGGGACACTTACTTTGTAAATGTTTAATATCTTCTCAGATCTTAGGTGCCCGGAGCACTCAGCAAATGTCCTCTGCCCTCCCATGAACCGCCGCCTTCTGTGGTGAGACCAGCCTCTGCCGTGGTGGGCGTGGCCCTTGGCAGTCTCCCTCCGGACCTTGCGTGTGAGCTTGGCTGATGGCCCCCACTTTGCTCAGGTGTGTGAGGACTTGAGGGGCTGGAGCTGGGCAGGGATGGAGGCATGCAGCTGTGAGGAAGCTGGGTGAGGCTGTGGTCCTTACAGCATTGACAGGGCAGCCAGTGAGGTCATAAGGATGTTGATGATGGCCCCCGGAGTAGGGGAGAGGGCAGGGAGTGGCTGAAGAGGTACGGGTGTGTTTTCTATGTGATGCTGAATCCATCTTGAGAAAAAGGAGACTCGGGCAAAAACTGTAGGAAACATAGGGTATGTGCAACCCTTCCCCCAGCTCACTACTCCAATTTGCACCCAGGTGTGGTTGAATTCACAGACAAGTGGGCTCCCAGAATCACCCTGGAAAAAAGAGGAGTTTCTTGTGAACTGGGAGTTTGGGGCCTCCTGCATGAGGGTGGCCCAGTGCCAACACTGTGGGATGGATCCAGGTTCCTGCCGCTCATGCAGCCCCACCTTGTCAATGGGAAGGCCCTGCTGCAGGCAAGCAGTGTTCACGACACTCTCCCGCAAGCAGAGGGTAGGTGCTGTGGGATGACAGCCAGCATGGCCGCCGGGAAAACGCGGAGCCCCGGGCTGCTCTGGCCAGCACTGGGGTTCGCAGGGCCTGACGGAGGCCTGCGTTACATTTGCACATAAGCCACCTTGTGGCCCCCACTCAGCCCATGGCTGCATGGAGAGCCACAGGAACAAGGCTGGGGGGACCATCGACCCACCCGGCAGAAGTGCTCCTGGCTGAAAGCCCTGGGCTCAGCCTCCCATTCCCACAGTGGGTCACACCTCACATGCAGTCTTCATGTCCCTGAAGCTTCCGGCACACAGCATGTCTGGCTGAATGCTTGTTTGTCCATAGAGCTGTCGGCACAGGTGCAATGGGACCAGAGGCAACTGTACCTCCTGCAGCGTGTTTGACGTGTCACCTGTCAAAAGCAGTGTAGGCCCAGTGAATGGTCTTCTCATTCCCTTTCCCCAGGGCACACACTGGAGCTCCCCCAAGGCTTAGTGGGCTCAGACCAGAGCTCCTTCTCTTGCTCCCGCCCTCCACGTGGCTCCCTTCTCTGCAATGGAGACCCAGGCTTTTGTCAGTAAAGTTTAAATATGTGCCACATGACACTTCCTAAGAGAGATGTAAGAGCCAAGACTTGGTTCATCCCATTACATTCCCATTGTCACAGCTCAAGTGCAAACAGCTCCATCAGCTGAGTCCCTGGGTGAGAGTGAGTGGATGACAGAATGTGTGCAAGAAAGTTTTGTGGGCTGTCATTCCATGTGTCCTTGTCTATGCCAAGGGATATGGTAACTGGTCCTAGGAAACCTGTACTTGCCTGACCAATGTGTAAGTGATCCTGTTCTACCTAGAAAGGGGTTATTCTCACAGTAAAGACAGGTCTGAGTGGGTATTGGTGGGGGTGGGGTGCTGTATTTGGGGATAGTGTAGTCTGTGGCAGGGGGGAATTAGTTTTAGAGTAAACAAATGTGTACCTCAAAGGAAGATGATGGGAAGCAGAATGTCAGCAGTGTTTGTGGTTTCTATTGAGTGCATTGGCAAGGCAGTATCAGGAGAGGAGCCATGGAAGAATTAGATGGTTAATAGAAGGAATAAAAAAACTCAATGTTGGTGATCCTGGAGAAGCAATGTAGTACAATGCAGTTGGAAAATACTTTTAACTACTAAGCCAGCTAAAAATCTATCTGAGACTTTTCGTTGTGCCCACAGCAGGGTAACTAGGAGTGAACTTGCCTCTACCATAAGCTAGCAGCAAACATATTTACCTAGGAGGCAATTATTTTCCATTCATCATGAGGCAGGGCATGGCTGTGGCCCCTGAGAAAAGAGGACAGATGAGGTAAGGTCTATAAGGGCCTCATCTTCCTTCTTGGGGCACATTCCAGGCTATGACATGAACAGGAGCACAGGCAGCTGGAATCTGCAAAGGTGGATGCCAGAGTCAGGGCACTCCAGAGCGAAGGACGCCTGAGAGAGCACAGGAGGCCTGAGTGCCTGCAGTGTGTCGTTGGGCCCTGGGCCATGGGTACACAGTATACAATTCCACAGGAGAGGCAGAGTGACCAGATCAGACTTCATAGTTCCCAGAGCCCACACGGGTCTAGAAGGCTGAGCTGTAACCAGTTAAGGGTGAAGAGCCTTGTGGAGTACCTGGGACATTGAATGAAGACAGTGCAGAGGTAGGATAAAATATCCCTGTCGTGTTTACACAGATGCCGAGGCCCACGCGGAACCAGGTGGACAGAGACCCAGGCTGATGCGCTCTGAAAATGATTAGCACAGCACAAAGGAAGAGGTGTAACACAAGTGGAAGGGAGAAGTCAGCTGACTATAGTTTCAACGAGCCATTCAACTGTGGGCCAGTGTGCCAGTTCAGAATGATGAGAAATCGGACAAGAGGAGGATTGCACTCACTTGTAGGTCTTTCTCCGAGGCCTTCACTAGCAGCTCATGCAATATACTTGGGGCAAAGCAAGAGACCACAGAGAGAGCATCTCAGTGTAGGTATTCAGAAGATTACCACCTACCACTGGGGACCCGAAACACACATTTTTCTTACCTCTCACATATGGAGCAGAAGCCTTCTACTGGTAGTGTGTGGTGGGAGGCACCACATGCTCCTATCCTCAGGGCCTGGTACAGGTGCACTATTCTGGAGGAAGAGTAGAACAGGCCCACATCCCTGGAAAATCTCAGATGCCAAGACCAACCGCAGAAGCCACAACCCAGTTCAAGTTCTCGCTAGCCTGAATCAGACCTTCCCCACCCTAATGGTTTAGCAGAAGAGGAATGCCTGTTTTGGGGTACAGAGACTTTGATCTTAAGTGTTCTTCTTTAATATCTGGCATTCAACCAAAAATGAAAAGACACACACACACACACACACACAGGTATGGGGGAGGGGAAATAAAACACTGGACCCCCTGTAAAGAGATGTAACATTGAACAGAATCAGACCCAGAGATGACTGAAACACTGAAAGTATCTGAAAGGAACTTTAAAGTAGCTATGATTAATACGTTAGAGAAATTAAGAAGTAAACAGGCATGAAAAAATGAAGAATTTTAAAGTAGATATATGGAAACTATTAAAGAACAATCAATTAGAAATGCCAGAAATACACACTATCAGAAATTTTTAAATTTCCTTGACAGGTATTTCAGCAGACTGGACACAAATGAGGAAAGAATCAGCAAATGTGAAGATAGGTCAATAGCTATCATGGCTGAAATACAAAAGAAAAAGAGTGGAGAATAAAGCAAAACCTTAAGAGATGTAAGAAAATAGCAGTGTAACACATGTGGAATTAGTTCCAGAAGAAGTCAGTGTAGGGCATAAAAAATATGTGGAGATACAAAGGATAAGAATTTTCCAAGATTAGAGACTATAATAATCACAGATTCAAGAATTTCAGAGAACCCCACACCAGAATAAAAGAAGCAAACAGCATAGTCAGTGGGCTCCCCGGTGGCCCAGGGGTGAGACTCCACACTGCCACTGCAGGGGCATGAGCTCGATCCTTGGTCGGGAAACTAGGATCCCCCTGGCCACACAGTGCCGCAAAAGAAAGGGAGGAGGAGGAAAGGTCGTAGTCAAACGGCTGCAAGATGAAGTCAGGGGAAATCCTAAGGCAGTGAGAGTGGGCAAGTATTTAACACAGAGGATCAAGGATAAGAGTCACAAGTTTTTCATTAAAAACTATGCAAGTCAGAAGACAGTCAATCAGACTCTTGCAAAACAAAATTAAACCAGAACACTGTCTACCCAGGATTCTATATCTAGGGAAATTTTCTGTAAAAATGAAGGTAAAATAAAGACTTGTAGTCTGACAGACAGACCTGTAGCTCTTATTCACTGCTGAAGACAGTGTAAAATTGTACACACACTTTGGAAAATCCTTTGCAGTTTCTCAAAACTACATGAAATGTAATTTCACTGTCCTGTATGCACCCAAGAGCAATGAGAGCACATGTGCATAGAGACAGTTGTAAAAGAATGTTCATAAGAGTTTTCTTCACAGTGCCCCAAAACTGCAACACAAATGTCAGTCAACAGAATATACAAATAAGCTTTGGTATTTATGTGATGAAAAGGCAAAAAGATATGACACTGAAAATGAACTCTCCAGGTCGATAAGGTGCCCAATATGCTACTGGAGAAGAGAGGAGAAATAGCTCCAGAAAGACTGAAGAGGCTGAGCCAGAGTGAAAACAGTGCCCAGTTGTAGATGTGACTGGTGATGGAAGTAAAGTCCAATGCTATAAAGATCAATATTGCATAGGAACCCAGAATGTTAGGTCCATGAATCAAGGTAAATTGGAAGTGGTCAAACAGGAGATGGCAAGAGTGAACATTGACATTTTTAGGAATCAGTGAACTAAAATGGACTAGAATGAGTGAATTTAATTCAGATGACCATTATATCTATTACTGTGGGTAAGAACCCCTTAGAAGAAATGGAGTAGCCCTCATACTCAACAAAAGAGTCCAAAATGCAGTTCTTGGGTGCAATCTCAAAAACAACAAAATGATCTCTCTTTGTCTCCAAGGCAACCCATTCAATATCACAGTAATTGAAGTCTATGCCCCAGCCACTAATGCCGAAGAAGCTGAAGTTGAACAGTTCTATGATGACCTACAAGACCTTCTAGAACTAACACCAAAAGGGGTGAGATGGGGAGGGAGATAGGAGGAAGGTTCAAAAGGGAGAGGATATATGTATACCTATGGCTGATTGATGCTTTTGAACTGTGGTGTTGGAGAAGACTCTTGAGAGTCCCTTGGACTGCAAGGAGATCCAACCAGTCCATCCTAAAGGAGATCAGTCCTGGGTGTTCATTGGAAGGACTGATGTTGAAGCTGAAACTCCA